TACACATGGTACAGAACATAACAAACGATTTTAGATTAACGACCCCCAAAGGGCAGGGGATAAAAGCTAGTATATATATATATATATATATATATATATATATATATATATATATATATATATGGTTACGTCTTCGGCGCACTCACTTTTTTGGGTGCATTCAATGCACTCACTTCATAATTGACATTTTGAGCAGGCGATTCATGTCAAAACAATGTTAATCATCACGTATGATACGACGAACAAGAAACCCCATGAATTGGCACAAAAATTGAAATTGAAGGGTTTATGGATTTATGGATTTAGGGTTAGGGTTCGTGATTTGGGGTTTAGGACAAAAGTTCAAAATTGAAGGTTTAAAGCTTAGGGTTAATGCATTGATTAGTTGTGATCTTATGCTATATCATCATATTACACTAATCTTGCCAATCAAAATAAAAAATTGATGTCAAGGCTACTTTTAGAGTTGGGTGCATTGAATGCATTCATTTTTGTGAGTGCACCGAAGTAGCCACCATATAATAGACAATACCCAAAACTTGGAAGCACAAGATGATTAAAGAGAAGGGGAAAATCTTTTTCCTTGTGTTCTCCTTCTTCGCTGAAAAATCCCCTTTTCCGTCTCCCTGCACTGGCGACCTTTACTATAAATAAGAAATAGCATTAAAATTGATTTTTATTGACCAACCAGAATTGACTCCTATATCAAATTTCAGTGGGCAAGATTTTGATAGCATTTTTTATTGTCTCAATCAGTATAAACTACCAGGAAAACTAATTCGGGCATAATTATGCATATTTTACCCCTCATTTCTTAATCGCTTTACTTGGTAAATCATCATATCTCGACCTAATTATACGCTAGGTTGTGCTTCTATTGTTATATTTCAGGTCTTACTACGTGTGGGAAGGTAGAAGACGAGTTTCGGGACGATTGGAGCCGCAAAACACCAAAAAGTGAAGAAAAGTCAGAAGTCACGGTAGGGACGTGAATGTCACACGACCACGAGACTGTGACAATTGTAAGGAGGGCGTTGACTCGCTAAAACACAACAAAGGCCAAGTGTCACCAATGAAAGGGACTGCATTATAGTGGCTCAAGTAATAAATATCGAATCCACGGGTCTCTAGAGTTACTATTACTCAGCTTCAATTCATTATCTAGCAAACGAGATTAAGATAGAACAACTAAAACTACTCTAGCAAACTACCATTAAAGTTAATCTAATTACAGGTTGGAAACTCACTTAGGTATGATTCCCCCTAGCCACTAGCTAGATTAATGATTGATGATCTCTAACCTGTTTCACTTTCATTCACAATGCGGAGAATACTTAACTAGACCTTGAGTCTCGACTAAAGGAACAAGGCCCTCTTGAGTCAATTGCTTAGAGGGACGTATCCTTCTCTAGAACAACCGATCAAGGCATTCTGAACTAGATTTCCCTCTATCTAATGAGGTTCTCAATCAATACAAAGCTGTGAATCAACCCTCGACTAAAGCAATCGATCCAATACTATCAATCTATGGTGCTCTATTGACCTAATCAGTTATTCGCTCTCATTGGATCAAAGCAGAATCAATAATCTCGACTAAAGCATAATTGAATCATGAAAACATGCATAGATTGAATATGAACTCAAGATTATCAAGTAAGAGTACTCATACAATCATCCAATCAAACAAACATAGCTAGGGTTCCTCAAAACCTAAGTGAAGGGAAGTTACTCCATAGAGAAGAGAGAGAATGCACTAAGAATCTTCAGATGATCAGTCTTCAAGTCCGGGCTTGTTCCTCGTGCTTCCAAGGCGAAGAAATCCTCCAATTCCACTCCAAGATTGTCCTGAAATTGCTCTCTCTCTTTTTGGTTCGTCCCTTGGGTGTTTGAGAACCAAAACCCAACTCTCCCCCTTCAGAATCCGCAAAAATGCATTTATACAGCTCACAAAAGCCAAGTTACGACCCCAAACTTATGGAATGTATTCTGCCTCGCATGGCCCCGAGTTACGACCAAAATGGCCAAGTTACGGTCATGGCCGTAACTTTGAAGGCCAGCCCGTAACTCTAGAGAGGCTGCTGTCTTTCGGTCATTTCTCCCTCATCCGAACTCTGAATTAGTCGCCGTTTGATTTCAAACGCTTGTAGTCTCGTCCTATTTATTTCAATGCATAGATTACATGATTCTTTGTCCACTAAAAGAGGTATAAATCCATTCTTCTTTGGGTCATGCCCGAGTTTCTTCCCCCGAGTCGCCAATTGATCTCCCATTGACTTGATCTCCCATTGACTTGAAACTTGCGCCTATGCTTCACTTTATGTGCTAGGACCTGAAATGTGACAAATAAAAACAACCTAGAGTAAGATAAGCCAAAAAAGCGATAATGCAAGCTTAAATGATCAAGAAACAAAGGAAAAAAACTGTGCAAATATCGAGTCATCAAATCCCCCCACACTTAACCGTTTGCTTGTCCCCAAGCAAATCTGAATCAAACCAATGCAAATCTCCAGACATCTACAGCAACACGCAATCCCGGTCGTCGGTAGCGGACTTCCTAGATCATTTAGCAGCTTACGAGGTCAACCAACACACAAGGCACCTCCTAACTTCTTCGGCGAGAATTCTAGTCCTGTGTCGGGATCATGTCCAGTAGTGATCATAGGACAAACGATCTGTGGATAAAGAGTCTCTCAAAAACATAAAGATCATGGACTCGCTTTTTTAGGTGCTCTATTTTTTTCTTTAAAGATGGTTGGAACCCCCTTTCTTTCTTTTCTTTTCATTTTCTTGTTTCTTTTTTTTTTTCTTTGCAAGGGTTCCAACCTATTATTTTCAGAAAATAGGGCTCCCACCTATAAAAGGTTTTGAGAGAGCCCGACTCTTACTGGCCATGCCGGGAGCAGATGTCTCAAACCTCCTGAGGGGGAAAGAAATGTAAGGGGGATGGAGGTAGTAGGTGGAAGTTGGGAACAGATTCCCGTCTCCCCTTACACACTTTCACCGATTCCTACACGGGAGACATTGTTTTAAAAGCACAGTTTAGAGCACCTTTTTCAAAACATGATACAGAGTCAGCGATACCACCCGATTCAAGTGTCCTAAGATCACTAATTCACACTATCAACCAACACAATATGAAGTAGAAAGGAGACTTCTTAAATGCATCAACATCCTCCATAGTGCTACACTTCTTCCCTAGGTTGCATATTACTATAAAGACTGTCAATTCAAAGCATACTAAGCAGGCATTTGCAAGGGACACACACTTGGAGCCCTCAAATTAAAAAATTTGGACAGGGGACTAGGCTCCAAGCACACATACAGCCAAACATTCACACGCATACATAATCGAACATCCCTTAGAATAGATAAGTCGGAAAGGAGAGAGTTTAAGTTGGGAGAATCTGAACTCTGAAGAGACGTCTAAGGTTTGATCTAATACGGAAACGTTTAGTTTTCTAATGGGTTATAGGTATAATATGCCTCTCTACTATGTCATTTTATCAAACATGTCCCTCTACTATTTTGTACATCAAACAAGTCCCTGTATTTTAGAAAATAATCAAACATGCCATTCTATTAAAATTTTCATTGAAAAAATCATCAATCATGGTTGAACCGATATTTTGACTACCCGACATCGGCAAATAGGAGGGAAAATGTCAGTTTTATTCTGTGTTTTATTTCTCTGGGTCTCGTCAAAGTGAAATTATTGGTTATACAAAAGAACCAAAAAAAATTCTAAAGGGAATTTATTAGGGATATTTTAGACATTTGTGAAACTCTAACAAAAGTTTGGCCGTGGTTAGCGGTTTTTGGATGAAATTTTAACAGAAAGACATGTTTGATCATATTATCTAAGTAAAGGGGTATGTTAGATGTAAAAAATAGCATAGTGGCATGTTTGATAAAATGACATAGTAGAGGGCATATTATACATATAATCCTTTTCTAATTAAAAGTTGGAAAGATAAATGCTAAAATGCTAATCACACCAGTTCATAATAAATAATTCTTTCTAAATGAGAATTGTCGATTTTATCTTTTCCTTTATTTGTGTTTATCTCTTTCTTGAAAAGCAAATTGAGACGTGAAATTATCAAAAATAAATATTCTTACGACACCATTCGTTAAATGTTGCTTAAAGTATAACAATATGCAATCCAATAGTATAAGTGTTGTGCAAGGTTGTCAATCCGCGGGTTGACCCGGACCCGGTCGAGCTAGTGGGTCAAGGGTTAATGGGTCAACCGTTTTAGCCCGGTTTGGCCCGGAAATATAGAAAGAGTCATTATATTGCACTTATCCTCATAAATTATATAGAATCTTATCTAACATATGAGTTATAACATATAATATTACACCAAAATAACATATCGTACTTAGATCCAACATATAGTGAAAATTTTCACACACTTATATAACATAAATATTCAAATGTTCAACTTAGTATGCCAAAGATTGAGTTAGGCGAAAAGAAAAATTGGAAAATAGGCGCATTTCGCAAACTAAAGAAAAAATGACACAATTTGACCTCCAACCCGGTACCTAATAGTGGTCGGCCCGGCAGGTGCGTGCGGCTCGTTTTTCTCACCGGGTCAGGGTCAAATTGGGTCGACCCGTGGGTCAACCCGCGGGTTGACAACCTTGGTGTTGTGTATACTAGAGCAAACATAACAAATAACTTATTTAGGTTGCCTAAACTACCAAAAAGCAACCCAAAAGAAAAGGCTTGCCATTGTTTATTTAATGCAACTCTTTTAATTAGTGTTGCAAGAAAACATTTTGTCCGTGTGTCAGAGATATTACTTTCGAATTTTTGTAATAACGAAATAAAAAAATTTTACTAAAAATTTCGACTGGACACACCTCTCCCACCTTACTGGATTTTGCGAGCAGAATAGCGAACGTCTTCAACATGCCCAAATCATAGTACGAACAGATGGCGTACTTAGAAAAAAAGGTTTGAAATGTTACAATAAGATACAAGTAAGAAAAGATGATGATGATGATGATGATTATGATATATATAATAGTAATTCGAAGATCAAAATTTTATCTAACTCACAGCTAATATAATTAGATAAGTAATGCATTATACATAAATCCATCTCCAGACTCCAGAGACATAGTACTTATTATTAATTATTTCCTAATCTAAAACTCATAACCAAAAGAAGCAGCAGCCGCCGCCGCCGGAGCAACAATCTCCGCCGCTGCTGAAGTACCATCACTCGCCGCAATACTAGTATTAATATTATTCTCACTATCCGTTACCGCCTTCGTCCCTTCCACCACCTGTTCCTCCTCCTCCTCCGATGCCAACGGCTTCGGCACCGCCGCCGCCGCGGCGCCGTACAAGGTGCTCAGCTGGTGAAAGTACGGGCACGTCCTTGAATCGGCGGACCTCTTCTTGTTCAAATCTTTCGTCTTCCTGAAATACTTGTTTATGTTCTCCCACTTCTCCTTGCACCTCTTGGCGCTTCTCCTGTAGCCCAATTCCGCCATCCCCAGCGAAATCCTCTCCCAAAGCGGCGCCTTACCGTTACTCCCCGCAGCCGCCGTCGGCGTTCCTTCACCTTCCGTGTTGTTGTGGTTGTGGATTCCGCATCTCAGATTTATCAGCGCCAGAACCTCGTCTCTCGGCCACCTCTTCCCGACCTCCTCCTTCACCGAGCTTCTCCCTCGATTCTCCTCCGATTCGCCGGATTTTCTAGGGTTTCGAGATGAATTTGGGGGAATGCTTTTGCTACCGACGCCCGTCACTGCGCCGGGCTCTAATTGGGAAAGTTCGTCGGCGGACGAATTGTTGTTAGGGTTTGCAGCCGACGAGGACGACGAGGTGGAATTCCGATTACTATTGCCGTCCTTGTCGCCGGCGGCGGCGGCAATTTGGATCTGGTAGTCAATCATCTCCAGCGGCGGCGGCGGAGCAGAATTAGTCACAGCGTTAGTGAGGGCGGCGGTGGTGGTGGTGAAATTCTCGAGGAACTTGATGATGGAGGCTTGGCGGTCGCCGGCCAGGGCTTGCTGGTCGGCCCGGAGCTGGAGCTCGTGGTTGATTCGATCCATCTCGCGCTGCTTCCATGCCTCTTCGCGGGCGAGCTTCTCTTGGTCCCTTCTCACCATGTCCTCTATCAGCTTGTTCTGCATCTCTTCCTGCTGAGCCATCATCTTGTCCACCATCTCCTGGCACAGACCTTTGAACATCTCGAATTTCTCCTCCTCTTCTTCTTCCTCCTCTTGTCTCCTTTTCCTCTTCTGGTTTCCGTTTGATGCCGCCGATGGAGCTGCATAATCCCCTCCTTCTTCTTCTGTGTCATCCTCGTTGCTTTCCACGGTGGGTCGATCTTGATGCTCATTTTCTTCTTGATTTCCTGCTGCTGGTGCGGTGCCTGGTTTTGATTCGGGTTCGACTTCAGCGTTGTCATGGGCATACTTGTTCTGCTGCTGTTGATTGATGCAGCCATTTTCATCATGATGATTAGGGAAGTAACTATGATTATGGGTGCCGTGGATGGAATTGAGGAATCTGGTTTCTTCTTCAAATTTCTCTCTGCATTTCTCGGGGCTTCTCTTGAACCCAACCTCTGATAGCTTCCTGGTGAGACCACCCAAACCCAAACCCAAACCATTAGTGAATAATAAATGTGTTGCAGTGAAGCAGCTAGGCTCAACCAATTACTGGTTTTTTTGTCCAGCATTTAGTTACTGTGACTCTGAAAGCACACAGAGCTTTAAATATGTATGCTGTTTTTATAGACATGGTGTGTCAGTCTAATTAATGTTTTTTTTTTTTTTTTGTAGTAGAGGAATCAGGAAAAGAAGGAACCCTATGACTAGCTAGATTAGCTTTAGCTTTCCAGCTTAGCAACTAGCTAGATAGGCAGAATCATCTTTGATTTCAGGAGCTAGAAAGGGGGATAGGATATGTACTGGGGGCAAGCATGAATTTCATCAACAAAAAGAAAGAAAACATTCCCAATAGTTAAAAGGAGTACTATGGTACTGATAAAACTATAATGAAATAAAAACCAGTTTGTTTGTTTGTTTTCCAATATTATAATAATATAATGCTTTTGTTGTTGTTGTGTGTATCTTACCTTGAAACATGCTCCCAAGTGAACTCAGGTGGAAACCAGTTCAACTCCATGGTTGACCTGATCCTCAGAAGGGCAAGAACTTCTTCATTAGACCAAGCTTGGGGATGCTCCGTAATTATCTTCTGCTGCTGCTGCTGCTGCTGCTTCTGGTTGTGGTGGTGGTGATGTGGGATCACAAAACTTGGCATTAGCTCTCTGTCTTCATGGTGGTTCTTGACATTGCTTCTGGTACTGTTGGCAGTATGATTCAGTGGGTGGAAGAAGTTGGGCGGGTGTGGGAGTTGGTAAGGGTCAAAGCCGATGGGGAAGACAGCAGCAGCAGCAGCTGGTGAAGGCGATGGAGAAGAAGGATGAGGAGAAGCGAAGGAGAGATGGAGAGGGAGATGTGGCGATGGAGAAAGAGAAGAAGAAGGAGGAGGAGGAGGATGAATTGTTGTTGTGGTGGTTGAAGGATTAGTAGTAGTAGTAGCCAAGATGAAAGGGTGGAATTGCTCTGGTGCTACTCCTTCAAACATTTCACTGTCTTGCTTTTCCTTCCTTTTCTTCTCTTTTTGTTGTTGGGGGAAGTGTCTCTTTAGGCTATAGTAAGCTCTGGCCTTTTTCTATCTCTCTCTATCTCGCCTGTTTTGGGTTTTTGCCTGTATGTCCTCTTTTCTCTCACAGTGTCTCACTGTAAAACAATGAGCCAAAAGAAGGAACAAAATTTTGGGGGGAGAGAGAGAGTAAGGAAAAGGTGGGAGATGCACACACTGCTGCAAGACACTAGACTACAAAAGCCTTACCAAACTGCCTATGTGCGTGTGAGTGAGTTTTCTCTCTCTTATTTATAAAGGAATTTGTCCCTTCATTGGGGTGGGGTTAGAGGTAGAGGGAGGAAGGAAGGCCACCCACCACGCCCATTTGCCCCACGAACAAGGGTAGCTGGGAGACTATACCCAGCCAGTACCTACAGCAGCTACAGAGCTGTCCCAAATTTATGTGAAAAGTTGAAACAAAAAGCTCTGATTTTACAGAGGGTATCATTTGCATTAATCAAGAATTGGGTGGTGGTATGGCTAGCTCATGTTTGGTTTAGAGATCCATCACAAATTTTTTTGCATATTTTTTTGTGTCCAATGGAGCGATGACGAGGACGAGTGATACTTTTCTAAGTGAAAGTCAATGACGGATTGTTATGATCATTGTTTAGAAGGATGGATACAACTCGAATTGGATGGTTCAGTTAATTCGTCAACAGGGAAAGCTGCAGCAGGAGGCCTCTTTCAGAGATCATCATTTGGGACATTGTTTGAGAGCTTTTGTTTGTAATTTTGTGACCTGCTCCCGATTCCAAGAGCAGAGCTTAAAGGTGTCGCCGAGGGGATTAAAGATGGCATGCGAAAAAGGATAAAGAAATGTGGATCTCAAGCTTTGATGATTCTACCACTGCTATCAGCGTAATTGGAAACAAAAGGGAAAAAAAGGCAATTTCAAACACGATCTCCTTGCTAAGGAAGTCAGCAAACTCCGATATCTTGATTGGAATGTTTCCATTTCTCATGTGTATAGGAAAAGCAATTACGCTGTTGATTTCTTGGTTAGCAAGGGACATAATGTTAATTTTGGTACACATAACTTCAATGTGTGTGCGACCCGAACCGTCGCTTTTGATTTAGTTACGATATTATGGGGATTACCATGAATCGATCCATTAAAAAAAAAAAAGAGGGGGCAAGTGAGGAAGACACATGGGTAGGTGAGAGTGGGGGAGGGAGGGTTTTTTGTGGTTGTCAAATTCAGTGATTCAGAATCCAATGCAGGAGCAGAAGGAGGAGCAGCAAAGACAAAAGAAAGCAGGAGGAGGCAGAGAAGGGTGATGTGATGATGATGGTGCAATTAACGGCAATGGGCATGGCAGGACACGTGAATTCATGCAGGTTGCAGAAGCAGAAGCAGAAAATCCACGGCCCCACCCGTCGCTCGGCCTCCGTCAGCATCAGATAGATAGGGACCAATACTATAATAATCAATGACTTTCCCCTTTCTTTTTCTTTCTTCTTCCTTTCTTAAATAATAATAAGAAGAAGAAAAAGACTCGGCAGAGAAAATGAAATCCCCCTCCCCACAAATATGCTTTTATTACTTGCATGAATATACACTACAGGCAGACTAGAGCAGCGCCAGCCAGCCCAGTCTCAGAGAGAGAAATTGGTCTCTGGCGACTTTTTTTTATATATTTTTAGTACTTAAAATTTTAAAAAGAGGGACAAAACAAAACAGCACCGCGCAATGTATTCCATGTGGGACATGGATTCTCAAGGTGTAAATATAATACTAACAATACATCAGCATCATGCTATTGAGATTACTGATTGAATATTTATCAATTAATCGGAGAATATTTGCTATCATAATTTTGATTGGGTATGAAAATAATTCAACTATAACCGTATAGCAATGTTGCTATATATATGTATATCATGCATATAGAATTTCATAAACAAGACACATGCAAACATATATATTTTTTCGTTGAATCAGTATCCTTTCCATTAAAAACGAAACAGTGAGACCAATTAGTCTCACCCAAACTGATTACAACGAGGGGCAAATCCCAGTATGAAATACAAACATATATTATCCGAATTCATAATTCCACTATTTTTCCTTAAAAGAACTTTATTCCCTTTAATATCCAAGGTTATTGAATAATTCATCTCAACACAGCAAACTTACTTCTTTGGTGTAGTAGTTCCTCAAAACCCTAAATCTGGACAAAACTCGATAAACCATAGTGGATCACCCGACTCTGGCTTTAAATAGTGTTTGAAGAAAAGAAAAGCAACAAAAAAGAGTATTTTAATACTTTTGGAAGAGAAGAAATGAAACAAAAAAAAAGTATTTTTGGTAGAGAGTTGATGGAAAGATCACTGCACAAAACTATGAAGGATTTCGAACTTAAGGGATGACAGTTTGCTGATCGGACAACTTATTTGGTTTGGCAGTGGGTGATAGTTGGACTCGAGCCATCCAAATAATGCCTTGGTTTGGTTAGCAGATGGTTGTGGATCCAAGCAATGCTAATTGGGCAAGAAACCAATACATTTAGTATACTAATAACATTTTATCAATCTTAAAATGAATGAAACCGAAGCCAGAGCCGAAGATGAGCGAGCGACAACGACATCATGAGGGTCCATCTGCTTATGCTCCTTTTGACTAGTCTTAGTGGGCTTCTCTTCTTAAATACCCAACTTCCATCCCCACATTTCACTCATATGGTACAAATGAGCTCAGATCTCACTTCTCTTGATTCTCATTCGCATGAAAATAACCAACAAAGAATACCACAACAATTCTACAAAATCCTTATCTAATTTATCACACTTAGGTGGCTGAAACCTCCACACCCTATGCTATTTCACTTTTAAGCTCATCTATCTAGGGGAGCACGTGAATTGAATGGGTCGTTTTAGGCCTTAATAATCAGCTGATCCAAATGTACCATGTAGAGAATAAAAAACTTAGATGCAATCATAAAAAAATAAAATTCAGCTTGTAAAAACATAGTTTGGATGGGCCGATTGGTATCATATATGTTCGACCAAAACAAAGTAACATTAAAAAATGCAGTCTCGGAGTGGAATTCGAATTTCAATATAATATCTTTAAAGAGAAGAAAAGCAACAAAAAAGAGTATTTTAAATACTTTTGGAAGAGTAGAAAAGAAACAAAAAAAATTATTTTTGGTAGAGAGTTGATGGAAAGATTAGTGCACAAAACTGTGAACGATTTCGAACTTAAGGGATGGCAGTATGCTGACCAAACAACTTATTTAGTTTGGCTGTGGGTGACAGTTGGTCCCGAGCCATCCAAACAATACCTTGGTTTGGTTAGCAGATGGTTGTTGATCCAAGCAGTGCTAATTGGATAAGAAACCAATACATTTAGTATACGAATAACATTTTATCAATCTTAAAATGACTGAAACCGAAGCTAGAGCCGAAGATGAGCGAGCGACAACGACAACAAGAAAGTCCATCTGCTTATGATCCTTTTGACTAGTCGTAGTGGACTTCTATACTTAAATACCCAACTTCCATCCCCACATTTCACTCATATGGTACAAATGAGCTAAGATCTCACTTCTCTTGATTCTTATTCACACAAAAATAACAAAATCCTTATCTTGATTCTTATTCACACAAAAAAAACAAAGAATACCACAACAATTCTACAAAATCCTTATCTAATTTATCATAATTAGGTGGCTGAAACCTCCACACCCTATAATATTTCACTTTTCAACTCCTCTATCTAGAGGTGCACGTGAGTTGAATGAGTCGTTTTAAGCCTAAATAATCAGCTGATCCAAATGTACTGTGTAGAGAATAAAAAACTTAGATGCAGTCATAAAAAAATAAAATTCTACGCGTGAAAACATAGTTTAGATTGGCCGGTTGGTATCATATATGTTCGGCTGAAACAGAGTAACATTGAAAAATGCAGTTTCAAAGAGGAATTGGAATTTCAAAATAATATATTGGCAATGATTCTTTAATGGGTAAGCTTCACATAAATGAAATGAATTGAAGGATATGCAAGAAAACAACTAATCAAAAGATTTTTAATTGAGTTTAATTGGTGGAGTTTAATTGCAATCAAGTCTCTTATTTAATTAGCTTGCTAATTTCTATAATTTAAAATTGCCTTAACTGTCTCGGTAGTGTCTATGGCTATTCTTTTCCTTTTATTCCCTGTTTGAATTTCACATTTTCGTTATTTATGCTATTGGAATAATTTTTGTTTGATTTAATTACTTGTCAAATTAATATTACCATCAGTGTAATTATCTTGCTCTTATTCATAGTTAGTAAATACTCCGTTTAATACACGTATATGTACCCGTACGTACTTTATCCGTTTAAAACTTTCGTATCCGTATTATTGTCAAGCCGTTTCATTTTTCCCCGTTCATTGGATGACTCCCGTACTAAACACGTATAAAACCCGTATAACACGTTTAATATCCGTATTTAATGAATTAAATTGTGAACTTTACTATTATTTATATATTTATTTATTTTTAAAATAATTACTTTTTATATATTTATTGCTATTAACGTACTATTAAACGTAACTTTAGCTTAGAGACGACGTAAAATACCCGTACGTAATTTTTACGTAACTTTCCCGTACCGTATTTTACTAACTATGCTCTTATTTTCCCTCTTTTAGTTCATATTGGTGACTACATCACATTATTGGTGTTGTATATTCGGTAATCCCGATTATATCTCATCGGTAGACTTTTATCTCTTTAGAGAGAGATTTCTAGCACCATAGTCGTGCATTGTTGGTTGGTCATTTTCAGGTGCTCATATGGTATGAAAGTAATTGAAGAAGGTTTCATCAATCTATCAGGTGATAGTTTAGTCTTATTCGTACAAATTTATGAGAATAATTAAGCTTTCTCTGTCGAAGATTGCTAATGTCCCTTTATTTTCTTTGTTGTGGATTTTTTGTTGCAACTCGATACCGATCACCCTGCATACTCCGTTGAAGGAAATTACACTCGCTGGCGGAACTATCGTGGAGATGTTGGGTTTGTGTTTTTGTTTTATTTTCCCGTCAGTGTCGTGTCTTTGCTCCTCAGAGCTTCTTCAGAGCGGCCCAAGTAGTGGCTTAACAGGCTCTTTCATCGTAGTCTGGTTGCATACGGACTATCGTATTTATTTTGAGTCAGTCTTGTAATTGTGTCTAGTCTTTGTCCCATGCCCTTTGGGCTTGCCTTGGAAAAAAAAAAAAGATTTTTAATTGAGACTAAGTCGTGCTGAAACTTCACTAACTCACTGTTGTTAATACAAGAGTCATACTATTTGATGTC